ACAACCAGCGGATCTACAGAGAGAGCAGCTTGTTCATCTTTACAGAGACATGGCTAAACCACCTCGTACCGGACGCTAACGTGAACCTGCAAGGATTCACCGCTGTGAGAGCTGACAGGGACACGAAAGCGACTGGGAAAAGGAAAGGTGGGGGACTCATCATGTACGTGAACAACCGATGGTGTAACCCGGGACATATCACTGTGAAGTCTGTGTGGTGTTGCCGGGATCTAGAACTACTAGCCATTAGTCTGCGACCATACTATCTGCCGAGGGAGTTCAGTCACGTGATCTGTATTTGTGTTTACATCCCACCAAGAGCGGATGCTGTCACTGCCTGTGAAAAAATCCACTCTGTCACAGCAAGGCTACAGACACAACATCCTGACGCTTTTGTGATCACTTCTGGGGACTTCAACCACGTAACTCTGGACTCTACTTTGGCTGTTTTCCATCAAGTTGTTGACTGCTCCACAAGGAATAACAGGACAATCGACCTCCTGTATGCTAATGTGAGTGATGCATACAGAGCTGCACCCACTAGGGAAGTCAGATCACAACCTAGTCCACCTACAGCCACTGTACACCCCCCTGGTCCAAAAGCAGCCTACAACAACTCGCTCCAGCAGGAGGTGGTCCCCTGCGATGGAGAGTGCTCTGAGAGACTGTTTTAACACCACTGACTGGGATGTACTGTTCAACCCGTATGGCGAGGACATATATGGGCTGACACACTGCCTGACGGACTATCTGAACTTCTGCGCAGATGTGGTCTCCCATGTTAAGACAGTCCGCTGTTATCCTAATAACAAGCCATGGGTAACGCGGGAAGTCAAAACTGTCCTTAACAAGAAGAAGGCTGCCTTCAGGAGAGGAGACAGGGAGGCCATGAAGGCAGCTCAGCAGGAGGTGAAGCAGTGTGTGAGGGAAGCAAAAGACAGCTACAGGAGAAAGGTGGAGCAGAAGCTGAGAGAGAACAACATGAGGGAGGTCTGGGAAGGTGTGAGGACCATCACTGGTCTCAACACAAAAACCAGAGCCGTTGGGGGAACAATGGAGAGGGCAAACGAGCTGAATATCTTCTTCAACAGGTTCAACCAGCCCATGCCCCCCCAACCCCCTCTCTCACTGCAGCCACCTTTCCTCCCCACCACACACCTCCCCCCAGACAACACAACACTGACAACCCCCCCGCACACCTCAGCTCAATCTCCGCCCCACATCACCACAGACCAGGTCAGAGAACAGCTGAGGAAGCTCAAGCCCAGGAAAGCAGCAGGGCCGGACCAAGTGTGTCCAAGACTCCTGAAGACCTGCGCTGCTGAACTGGGAGAGCCACTACAGCGGATCTTCAACCTCAGCCTGCAGCTAAGGGAAGTGCCCACCCTCTGGAAGACATCCTGCATCGTTCCAGTGCCCAAGAAGAACAGGCCCAGCGAGCTGAATGACTTCCGGCCCGTGGCACTCACTTCACACACCTGATGAAGACGTTCGAGCGGCTCTTCCTCGGCCTCCTCAGACCTCAGGTGCAACATGCTCAAGACCCCCTGCAATTCGCCTACCAGCCAGATGTTGGTGTGGAGGATGCCATCCTCTACCTGCTGCACCGGGCCCACTCCCACCTGGACAAGGGCAGTGGCACAGTGAGGATCCTTTTCCTGGACTTCTCCAGTGCCTTCAATACTATCCAGCCCCTTCTGCTCCAGGACAAACTACACAGCATGGGAGTGGACCCGCACCTGGTCACCTGGATCCACAGTTACCTCACCAACAGGCCGCAGTATGTCAGGCTGAAGGACACCAAGTCTGACACTGTGGTCAGCAGCACAGGAGCCCCCCAGGGCACAGTGCTGGCCCCTCTTCTCTTCACCCTGTACTCCTCTGACTTCCACTACAACTCAGAGCTGTGTCACATACAAAAGTATGCTGATGACACAGCCATAGTCGGATGCATCAGGGATGACAGAGAGGAGGAGTATCAACATCTGGTGGGGGACTTTGCCCTTTGGTGCCACACAAACCACCTGGAGCTCAACACCTCTAAGACAAAGAAGCTGGTTATAGACTTTGGGAGGTCCAGACCAAAGCCGAGACCAGTCGTACTAGAGGGAACTGAGGTGGAGGCCGTGGACTCCTATAAGTACCTTGGGGTGTGGTTGGACAGCAAACTGGACTGGTCAAAACACACCAGCAACCTGTACGGGAAGGTACAGAGCAGGATGTACTTCCTCAGGAGACTGCGGTCCTTTCACATCTGCAGCAAACTACTGTGTATGTTTTACCAGTCTGTGATAGCCAGTGTCCTCTTCTACACCGTGGTGTGCTGGGGAGGCAGCACATCCAAGAAGGACACGTCCAGACTGGACAAACTGATCAGGCGGGCCGGCTCCGTGGTCGGCATGAAGCTGGACTCTCTGGTGACGGTGGCAGAGGCCAGGACACTGAACAAACTGATGGACATCATGGCCGACAGCAGCCACCCTCTGCACACCGTCATCAACAGCCAGAGGAGCCTGTTCAGTGACAGACTGCTGCTTCCTAAGTGCCGGACCAATAGACTTAAGAACTCTTTTGTCCCCCAAGCCATCAAACTGTACAACGCCTCACTGGGGGCGAGGAGGTGACACAGGACAGGGGGAAGAGATATCACATATCACATACACATACACTGTACTTAATCTGTATTTTTTGTATTTTTATTTATTTATTTGTATATTTTTGCTTGATTTGATTCTAACTTGACACTGTTTGCCCTTTAAGCTGCTGGTAACCTTAATTTCCTGAGGGAGTCTTCCCAAGGGATCAATAAAGTACTGTCTAAGTCTAAGTCTCTAAGTCTAACAAAAGGTGGAAGTCCAGACAAAGTACAAAAACACAGCTGTGGCAAAACTGTGACTATGACAAAGTAACAAAATAAAGATTAACAAGACTGTGGCAAAAAGCAAAACCTTACATGACATGTTGAGACGAGGGACGAGAGACACAACAAGAAGGACGAAAACGAACTGGCACAAGACAAGGGGAAATTAGGACTATTTAAACACATGAGGGAGGGGAACCCCAGGTGTACACAATAGGTAATCATGACATGACGAGACACCAGACATTCCCCCAGACGTGACATAATTTGAGTATGTGTAAATCAAAATGGAGATGAAATATTCTTCCATTTGTTATATGACCATTTACAAACCACTACAGAACTGTTTTGTTGATGATTTTACTGAGCTACTTTCAGTTGTAACTCAGTTCAGTCAACTTTGACCGTTTGGTATATAACAGTGGACTTGAATGTTTACATGAGTGTAGCCCAAGATAAGCGTGATAAAGAACTCACTGCTGTCCTTGAAATGTTTCTTCTAACTCAGCATGTAAATAAGCCCACATACAGCAGAGGGCACACTTGAGATATGATCATTTTAAAGGGTGCTGTTATTTCAAATGTAGATGTTGTGAATGTTGCTTTATGTGATCATTTTTGTGTATTCTTTGATCTGTCGGTTACTCCCAAACTAGCAGTTGGGTCTGCAGGTGTTCAAGGAAGTCTGAAAATACCCCTTGTTCTGATGTTGATCTGTTGAATTCTTATACATCAATTTTTTTAAATGTTTTAAGTACCAACTATTGGACTATATTGACCTTTGACAGCCAGATTAAATCAATAACATCAGCAGCATTTACTATCTAAACACAGCTCAATCCAATCCAGCTCAAAATACACCGTTAAACAGCTGCAGAACATCCAGAATGCTGCTTCTCAAGTTCAGGTATTTGTCTCCTGCAGGTGCCCTGAGTCCGAACAGAACAAGGTGAGGCTTCAGTGTTATGCTCATAAAATCTGGAACATTCTTCGTGAGGAAGTGAGACAGATCTCAACTCTGACAATGTTAAAAAAAAGGCTGAAAACAGCTGTGCATTTGACAACTGAAAATATTTCATCAGCACTCTTTACTTTTATTTGAATGGATTAAATTAAGATTATTTTCACGTTTTAGTTGCTTTTTCTATTTTCCCCTAAAAATAAACTTGCCCTGCCTTGGCTAAACAAATACTGATACTTTGCCCCGTGGCAGCAAAACAGTATCATTCCCCTACAGCACAAATTTTTAAACATTTTTTATTAATCAATTAATGGAAATGATAGTTAATTTTTTTCATCAATTTTCTTTACTATTATTTATTAATCTGCTTTTTTCTTTGCCATTATACTATTGTACATTTTGGTCTTGAAAATAAGACAAGCCTCTTTAACAAATCTCCAAATAGAAACCACTCGTACAGAGATAATTGTTTCATGTTTACCAGTCTTTTACCTGTCTTTATTCTTTCGTATATTTCTACAAAATTTTCTAAGGTAATGGACATTTCTTAGAGTTCATATTTGGGAAAAGTAAAGAGCTTTTTACTGATACACTTGGACCAGGAAATATTGGAATTTCAAAGTCTTTATTTTAAAACATACAAATAATACACAAAAGATGTTTCACAATACTTAAACATTATTCATCACAGCACTTGTTCGGCATTTGCTTTGTAATAATATATTGAGAAGATTTCACTTGTCCTCATGCTAGCGTATTTACATAAGTATAGTACATTAGCAATACTTTGCCAACACATCCCTACGGTATAATACTTCTGCAAACTAAAATTTGTAGCGTATTTTGTGAGATGTAAGTATTTAATTGTCGTGCAAGTGAAGCTGATAATAACTAAAATACAATACATAGAAGTTCTTATCATTTTAAAAAGAGAAACATGTTTAATGTGATTACCTTACTTTAAGTTACTTTGAATAAAAAAAAGAATATCCCCAACAACATTTGAAAAGGAAAAATGTGAAAAAAGCTGTTTATTTGTTGAATTTACAATATTGGAGTGTGCATTTAAATGTTAATGTATCCTGTCAAATTGCAATTACTATTTCCCCTCAAGCTTAATCATGTCATCTTTATATTGCTGTGATTTTTTTTTTCTTAAAAAGAACAAAACAGATAAACCTATAATGCCAAACACTGCAACAATGAGAAGAGCAAATGTGGTATTAAGCCCAGTTGCAGCTTCACTGACCGAGAGTTTCCTACCCAGGAACTCCACAACACTGGCAGTTGATGAACTTGTTGTTTGTGCGCTGGTACTTGTTGCTGGTACTGCTGTTGTGTGTGAGCTTGTTGCTTGTGTTGTTGTGGCTGGAAAAAAAAACATTCACTTTATCAGTGTAATTGATTCTGGTAAAGTGTTCCTTCCATATCTTTTTTTTTCAAGAAATTCTTGGAAATAACATTTTTTTCTCCATGTCAACTTTCTAAAGATGATAGTGCTTTGTTTTATGAGGATATATGTTTAGAAAATTAAATCGAATAGATAACCTGGTTACTACCTGGGAAGACAGGAATAGGTTTACCTTCGGGGCCTGGGCTCAAGCATTCATGAGGTCCTAATGCTGGGTCTGGGAATCCGTTGCAGCTTATGATACTGTTGAAGAAGGACACAGAATTCTTGGCCACTCGAGGCAGATTAGGATCTGAACGATTGACATAAAAAAGGCCAAATCTCTCTGAATAGCCAACAGCCCACTCAAGGTTGTCCATCAGTGACCAAGCTGTGTAGCCGCGGATGTCCACACCATCTAGCAAGTAAGCTGGAAAAACAAAACCACTCCTTTAAAAGTGAAAATACATCAAATAATTGATTTTTCTTTGCTTGATGATTGGTTTGATCCTTTTCAGAAAGTTAAGTATTGCCAAAAACCATTCAACTTTGTTTGCAAATGCAGTAAATTTTATTTAACTTATTTATTACCTTTCAACACCTGGTTGATATAGTTTTTGTAGAAGTAAACCCTGTGAGGGTCATTCAGATCAACAGGACCCGACTCTGAGACACCATTTTCAGTGATGATGATTGGGGGATTTCCAAACTCCTCTTTAATGAACCTCAGTAATCTGCGCAGGCCAAACGGTGTTATTCTCAGCCATGAAGAGCCTGTTTCCAACCAAGTGCGATCGGAAATGACGCCAGCACCCCTGTGAACAAATTTAGAGTCTAAGCTCAAATATTTTACACCACAAAGAAGGATTATGTTTTCAGAGAATAAAGTGAAAAAATTGTAGTGGTGGATCAAAATGCATTAAATAAATCACTGATGGGCAAAAAAATACTTTTTTCACCAAAGTTTTCTTACTTGTCTGCCTCAAGATGTTGATTGTTGCCATGGTCCACATTAAATGCAAGGACAGAACAGTAATGGTTGAGACCAAAATAGTCAAAAGTACCATTAATCCTTTTGATTTCCTCAGGTGTAAACTCGGGAAGCCTTTGAATAAAACAAAAATAAGTGGTAAATGCAAAGAAGCATTGAATAAACAGTTTTGGGAAAATAAACAGTATCTGCAAAAAGATCAACAGGACAAATACTGTGATGTTCAGTTAACTTCTTTTGAAACTCCATAATATCTGAAGGTTTCATGTCAATACCTGGATTGTGATAAACCAGCAGCAAGACTGCGCTCTCGAATGATTGTCTTAAACATTTCATTGTAATCTCCATTATATATTGGATGGGCAAACCAGCCAAGGTACCACTGCATACAGAAAAAGGGACACAGCTGCCATTAGTGAACATAATCATTTCATTTTTGAAAACTGCTCCATGCACATGAGGATTCAGCATACCTGCACCACACGTCGAGCAGCATCAATGTCCTCCTGCTTGTTGGGGTTCCTTGGTTCTGCCCAATCAGAGTTGACAGTTATGGAGATCAATCCATTCTGTTTGGGTCGATACTTGTCATTGTAGACATGATAAGCCTCAGCATGAGATTTGATAATGTTGTGAGCAACAATGTAAGGATGGAGGTCAGGGCGGCTGGAGTCTCCTGAAATCACACAAAGAGAATGATAATATTTAGCTACCTTCTTTTATTTGACGTAGGTATTATATATATACAAAGACATATACATTGATGCACTTTAATTTGATTGTATGTTTAATCAATTCTTTGTCCACAATTTTCCGTTTACTTGACAGTTTCCTACCTGGGGCATGTGCTCCAGTCACATGACCAAGCACTGAGATTATGTATGGCTCATTAAAGGTGATCCAAAGTTTTACTCTGTCCCCAAGAGTGTCAAACATTATGTCAGCATAATCCCTGAATCTGGGAATGATAGTCTCATTAAGCCATCCCCCAGTTTCCTGAAGAGCTTGTGGAAGGTCCCAGTGGTACAGTGTAACCTTAGAAAAATGGAAAGAAATGTTCAAAAGATTTGCCAACTTTCTTATTGATAGTTGAGAGGCTAAACAAGTTACACTTACTTGCGGCTGGATGTTTGCAGCAACCAGAGCATCTACAACTCTATTATAGTAGTCTAGCCCAGCCTGATTAATGTGACCAGTGGTGCCATCGGGAAGTACCCTCGCCCAGGATATGGAGAAGCGGTAATGGGACACCTTAAGTTGCTTCAAAATAGCAATATCATCATCTAATTTATTATAACTGTTACAGGCGATGTCTCCGGTGTCTTGATATAACACCTTGTTAGGTGTGTGAGAGAACTGATCCCATATATTGAGACCTTTTCCATCTGCTCTCCATGCTCCTTCAATCTAAAAAAAGTGAAAATACTGCAAATAAGCAATTCTCTGATGGATTAATGGAGATATTTCAACCGAACTGTTACCTGATATGATGCTGTTGCACTACTCCAAATAAAATCTTTGGGGAACTCTCCATAAATCATCTTTTCATCCTCTGTTGGGGGAAAACCGTTATCCTTCATAATTTGGTGGTATACATGAGCCGAATACCGGGGTGTTCTTGGCCGGTTAGGGTTGTCAAAATCCACTTGGTTCAGTCCAAAACCAAACCCAACTCTATAGCCATTCAACCACTCAAAAGAATCCATAAGTGATGTTGCTATGTAACCTCTCAGCTTCACTCCATCAAGATCGTAAGCTGTAATTAAACACACAAACACAGATGAGGATCTCCTAAAATAAAAAAACATATATATCAAGAATTTGAGAATGTCCTTTAATTATTGATATCAACGTACCTTTTAGAACCTCATCAACATAGGTTTTGTAATGAAATACTCTGTCAGTGTCATAGAATGTAGCCGCTCCATTCTCAGTGATGTAAATGTCAGGATCTCCATACTCCTCCTTGAGCCAATTGAGGAGTCTTCTCATGCCCCATGATATAGCTCTCTGATTTGGAATAGATGTACCGGGATATTCAAGCAGTTCTTCCTCTAAAAAGTCCCAGTCATGTTGGTATGACTCAGGTGAAAGGAGACCTGTAATATGACTAACTCTTTTTGTGGTATGGTGACTGAGACAAAACACGTCAGCGGTTCCCCTGATGGAGGTCATTTCTTCTTCAGTGAAGGAAGGGAGTCTTGATGCTGAAAGACCTTGGAGTTCACTTTTTTGCAGGACTTGCTGTTTCATTGCGTCAGGATAGTCACCGTTTTTGAAAATAGGGTGTGCAAACCAACCAAGCTGGAACTGCAGTGCACGGTCAGCAGCCACAACGTCACGGGGGACATTGATATCTTTTGGTTCATACCAGTCAGCATTGAGAGCAATGGATATTAGACCACCTTGGGACGCACGATACTTGTCGTCATAAGTGTGGTAGGCCTTAGCATGAGCTTTAATTAGGTTGTGTGCCACTTTGTAAGGTGCAGTTCCTGGATCCCTAACATTTGGAGGGATATGCCCAAGTCCATAGCCCAACCATGCAATTGTTTGGGGCTGATTAAAAGTAATCCAGAATTTTACTCTATTGCCAAAGGTGGAAAAACAGAAGTCACAAAAGTCATTAAAGATGTCAATCATGCCGACATTGTCCCAGCCACCAATGTTTTGCAAAGCTTGAGGAAGGTCCCAGTGGTAAAGTGTCACCATAGGGGTGATATTATGTGCTAAGAGGCCATCAATAAGTCTATTGTAATAGTCGACACCTTTCTGGTTCAGGGAAGAACGAAGGCCATCAGGAAAGATCCTGGACCAAGACAAAGAGAATCGATAGGACTTCACCCTGAGAGCTCGCAACATGTACAAGTCTTCCTCCAGTCTATTATAACTGTCACAAGCAACATTTCCATTAGCATTTTCAAAAATACTGCCAGGTTTTTGAGCGAATGTATCCCAAACACTTGGACCCTTTCCATCAGCATTCCAGCCTCCTTCAATCTGGTAAGCTGAGGATGATACTCCCCAGATGAAATCTTGTGAAAAAGTGCCATAGTGATACATTTGTGTGTCAAATTTTGACTGGCGGGAGAACTTTTCCCAAACGACCATTGATTTAGATGGAACCTCTGAGGGCGCAAGAGTGGTGGAGCGGCGTGTAAATGGTATTTTTAAGCCTTGAAAATCGCTGTGTTTGCTTGGTCCAAAACCATTTTGCTTGATAACCTGAGCATAGAAGTATGCAGATTGCTTTGGGGTTCTTGGTCTCCCTCCATCCTCAAAGTTAACGTGGTGAAGACCAAATCTTTGGCTGTAGCCTTGTTTTCCCTCAAACCCATCCATGAGTGACTGCACTGTAAATCTCTGCACATCAACTCCATCCATGGTTATGGCTATGAAAGGGATACAAAGAACAATGCAATTAATTTGGATATTTTACATTTTGTGGTCACTTATGTAAATATCAAACACTGACCTTTCAGGGCTTCATTGATATAATCCCGCATGTACTCCACTCTGTTAGTGTCATTAAGGGTGTCCCCACTGTCCACTGTTGGCATCCCATTCCCAGTTATGTATATAGGCACTTTCAAAGTATTCAAATATTCTTTTGAAATGTAGTTTAAAAGGTGCCGAAGTCCCTGAGGCACGGAGTAAATCCAGTCAGATGCTGTAGATGGCCAAGAGGGGTCCACATGAGCCTGAAAGTCTCCCACGCCTGCAGGCCCTGCGATGCATCCACCTTCAGTGCTGCTAACCAAACGGGATGTATAATGGTTTAAACCAAAAAAATCTGCAGTTCCCTGTATCCTCTTGCTCTCTTCAGGAGTGAAAACTGGAAGTACTGCTGGTACAGAGCTGGGACACTCATTTTTTTTCTGTTCGATCTGAGTCTTAAGTGCTGCAGGATAATCACCATTGACAAATATAGGATGTGCAAACCATCCCAGCATAAACTGCAGGTAGCGATTAGCAGCCGCTGCATCTTCGGGATTAGTCTCATTCATGGGCATTGCCCAGTCAGAATTTAAAGCAATGCCCACTTTCCCACCCTGTGTATTTCTGTACTTGTCATTGTAGACATGCCAGGCCTCAGCATGGGACTTGAGGATATTATGAGTGACCTAAAATAGTAGGCAAAAAATGTAAGTTAAATGCCCCATAGCAACAATTAAACACTTGTCTATAACTCAAACATTATAAAGATGACTTTTACCTGATATGAAGAAAATGCATAATCTTTTACTCCAGGGGGATGCTCCCCAGTGCCATACCCAGCATGGCTCACCACCCAAGGGCTGCTGAATGTGTTCCAGGTCTTGACCCTGTCTCCGAACCTGGAGAAGCAAAAGTCAGCATAGTCCTTGAAAGCTTCAACAATGGAAGTGTTGTTCCATCCGCCGTTGTCCTGGAGGGCCTGCGGCAGATCCCAGTGGTAGAGAGTAGCAACAGGTTGTATGCCATTTTCAATGAGTGCATTTATCAGTTTGTCATAGTAGAGAGCCCCTTTCTCTGATTGGCTCCCTCTGTGGCCATTCGGGAAAATACGGGCCCAGGAGATAGAAAACTGGTAGGTGTTGACTTGTAGACCCCGAAGCAGATAAAGGTCATATACCACCTTATTATAACTGTCACAAGCTAGGTCTGCAGTCTGATTTTCAAAGGCAAGACCATCATGACCAAAACGGTCCCAAATAGTTTCTCCTTTCCCCCCTTCTAACCAGCCACCTTCAACTTTGAAAGACTCTGTTGAGGTAGCCCACTGGAAATTGGAAGGGAATGATTTAGCAAGGAAAAGGTCTCGTTCGGTTGTAGTTTGGCCCTCAAACTTCTGCCAGACCTTCTGATAGCTATTGGTGATATCTGTCATCCTTTTCAAGTCAGGAATATCTGGTCTTCTGAAAAACAGAATAATGTGACAAATTATAACATGTTCACATTTGAGGTGTAGGTATAAATGTAGACATAGATATTTCTTACTTGATTGGAGGATTTTGCAATTCCAGTTGTTTTACGTCACATCCAATGATATTCAAGTTGTTATCCTTTAGAACTACATGTTGAAGACAGAAGACAGGTGGAGAAATCTTCATGAAAAATGTCAAAATCCAAAATTTTGGTTGATATCTCACCAATAATTATTTTTCACTTATTCAATGCTTAAGCCATTACAACCTCCACTTTAATCTTTATCCAAAATATAAAATTCAAAGATATTTCTAACACTTCATATTCACTTTAAGTAATACGTGGTTAATTTATAACAGGGCGTATAAAGCTAGTTAAAAGGCTCTTTACCATCTCTTTTACAAGTGTCCTTGTAAACTTTCCTGACGTGTGATATTTACTCAATCACCTGTCAGTGAAGCTAACTTTCCTTTCAACATTTTTTAACAGTTCTAAATATTGTGGTTCACTAATGGATTTTAAGCGATGATTTTCATGTGCAACTTGTTTTCTTTATTTGTGATATAAATTGTCATAACTGTAATACACTTATTTACTCACTTAGGCTTAGTGGTGCCACATTAACACTTTTTTTAAAAAGCACTTTACGAAAAAAACATGAATAGTTGTAAGAAAGAGAAACTGAATGATAGAATAGAATAGAATAATCAACAATTAGGCATATTATATACTCCTTGGAAGTATACAATTTAATGACAATGCATTCAATCCAGTGCTACAGATAAAAATACTGAAATACATGTGTATTTAATTTTTTATAACCAGTCGTCTGCAATTTTAGGAAAGTTATGTTAGAGGAGAGTGAAATCATTAAATGACCCTTACCTTGTAGTAACTCTCCAAGAACCTGGTGATGGCTATGTGAACAATCATGAACGTTCAACTTGTAGATCAGGAGGGGCAAGTTCCCCACAGATGTCTAATATTCAACAAAATATGCACATGACTGCATTGTTATGGCGATGTTAAACATCAAATACAAAGTTGAATTAAAAAATATTCTGAGTACCTGCAAGTTCCTCAACTCCTGGGCCAAATTTTCTGAAGCACAGTTATGTTCAATGTGCACTGACAAGAAGTCCACCTGTTCAGAATAAGACATAAATAATGTATTCAGTCTGTTTTGAATGCTTGTATTTTGTTGTGAGGTCTTCAATATTTCAAATGACATGAATTGAAGTCATTGTCACCTACATGGCAGATGATTTACTTATATTATCAATTTATTTATAATAGAAATAATATAGTATATTAGAAAAATGTATTATAAAATATCAAACAGCAATAGAATAGTATATCTAGAGATTTAAAATGTGTGAGATAAAAGTTTCTCCACATGAGGAATATGTTCTCCTTTTTTTGGTACATTTAGACAAAGTAATTAATCAGATCTCCGTAATGCAGAAAAGTGAATGTAAAGGCAAGTTCATGTTACACCTGGCCCTAAAGCTGTAAAGTTGTGTATATATCCTATAGTTGTAGCCGCACCCTGACTCCAAGATTAGATATAATATACAATCTATGGATTAAACGTCCAATTTAACCTTATAACAGAGCTAATTAAACTTTTTGTAATCAACTTAGAACTGGTTCACTCTATAGTGCTGAAGTGATTAGATGGCAAAAAATGAAATCAATAGAGCACCAGAAATAGTCTGTAATCCTGTTATCAGTAGTCCTGTTGTGGCTGATAATAACCCTCTCTTTCTTTTGACTCTGAAATGTAATATATTGTACTTGCCATTGTGTTAATCATTCATCTTGGATAGGGTGGTAAAAACATATTTTTGTCAGATTGGTCTCAGAATGTATATGTATTTCTGCTTTCCATCAGTTTTAAAATAAAATAACTTAAACAACAAGAGGAAGTTGACACAGGATGCTTCCACTAAAGATTTTCTGGCCAGAACTAGATGTTGAAAATTGAAAGTTTATTTCCACTTGTTTCACATCCTATTAAACTTTCAATTCCCTCCATGTTTATTTGGAATAAATGTGCAATATTTAAAGCAAATATATCATCTTTTTTTAATTGTGGTTTAGTGCTTGCAAATTTTTACTCACTTTTGAAATAAAGAATTTCAGTGGCATGTAAACCTGAATAACAAAAGCAGAAGATGATGCTTACGGTTGTTGAAGCTTTGATTTGGGAAAGTGTGACGGCATCTTTTGCTTTTAGCCCAAGTGACAGATGTCTCCCTGGAAATGCAGAGAAATTAAATTCTTACAGAACATAATTTGATATATGGGCTTCATATTTAATATCCGGATACAATATTACAGTTCAGCTATCAGATGACAAATACTTGACATCTCTGCTTGACCATAATTGTGAAGAATTTCAGTACCAATTGGCCATGGACTAATTTTTACAGCAGATATTACAAAATGCAAAAAAAGCAATATATTAACAATCTTAACAATAGAAATATACTGAATGCCCAATTATGAGAATACAAATGTTATCCAATTTTAAAAGTCTAAAAAGGACTAATAGCAACATTTATTGGATAAATGACGTGATTTTTCTTACCTTTTCCAGGAAATTGTTGATGGTAGATCTGATGAATATTCTTGTTCAGCTCAAGGATATTTTGCAGAAGACTCGGAGCATTCACCGCCTCATTCCAGACATCACCCAAGTCACTCAGTATTACCCATGAGCGTGCCAGAGCTCCAAACTCCTGGAAGGCAAACTCGGCATATTGCTGGAAGGCTTCTAAAAGCCTCTCACTCTCCCAGCCTCCAAACTTTGACTTTAGAGATTCTGGAACTGTTGATCCATGAAGGATGGGGAGAGGCTGAAGGTCCACATCCAGCAGTTGCTTCAGCAAGGCCTGATAACACTTGACCACAGCTTGCTGTGAATGGCTGGGGTAACCTGTGGGGAGGAGTTGAGCCCATGATAGAGGAACTTTAAAGTGGGTCACCCCTATACTGTGGAGATGCTCAAAGTACTGTTTAGAACCAGGAGGTAAGGGGTGACTGCAGTCAAAGGCATCATTCCCCAACTGCTCTGTTAGAGGACCTTCAAGAAGCATAAAGTCATCTTGCCCATTTGCCCCATTCCTACCACCACTGTACAGGCACAAAATGTGCAGACACAAAACCCACAACAGCTTTTTCATTGTGGCATGAAAAAGCACTGACACTCTCCACTGGCTGCAACGCTTTTAAAGCAGTGATGAGTTCTCGTAAAAATGGTTACACAATTGAGATCAATGTCACGCTTGATTTTTTGAAGATAAATAGTTTTACTGCAGCTGTGTTATCTGGTCATAAAGACTCTGGACCAAATGCAAACAAAAATGATGGCATTATTTTACTGATGTTACTGATGTGCAGAAGTAGTCTGTTCTCAAGAAAAAATTTAAAACATAGCACACCAAATCCACATTGACATTTATTCAAATAAAAAAGCCTATAAGAGTTTAACTACTCCATAACTCTTAGAAATATAAACTTTTTTTTTTACCCTAATGCAAAACATGTGTGTCTACTGATTAAACAGGCTAAAGGCAAAACACATTGCCCATGGTTTTGAGGAACAAAAGAAAACAGAAGTAAACGACAACAGAAGTCGAGCATATATGAGATCAATAAGGAGTTTATATAATATCCTGAGAGAGAGAAAGAAAT